CAGAATCTGTTTTCAAGCCCAGGAATGAAATGGATATGAAGACACAGGGCTGGGGAGTTCATTTGCTTAGGAACTAGAGGCACAGACCGTGTTGTGCATACTTGAGAAAGCCCCGAAAGGACAAGGTATTTGGGCTGAGCTGGAAGAAGGAAAGAAGGTACCTGCAGGGTTGCTCATGGGCCACAAGCCTTCCCTAGAGGCATGGGGACCAGAACTGAGGAGACAGGAAAAAACGATAAGTCTTTGAATATTTCTGCCTTCTTGGGCACAGGGGCCTCCATGGGGATCCATGGTACTGGATGGTTTATTGCAGTTGGGCCTCAGGGAGCAAGAGGAACCCTTACTTGCTGCCCTGATGAGCTAATTAAGAGGCACAATTAATTACTTTGTTGTTTTCAGAGCAGAGGCGGAGGGACAGCTTTTTCCAAAGCTAGAAGCAGCTCCCGCCTGCCCCTCCCTGCTCACTCATTTGTCCAACAGGCAGTTACAAGACCAGTCTCGGGGCTTAACCTTGCAAGGTCCCTGTTACTCGGGTTTCTTTCCAAAGTGCGAAAGCTAACCTTCGGAAGTTTCTGTGGATCTGGTTTTCATCATTCGCTTATCCAGGCATCATTTAAGGGCCCTGACTGTGTACACAGACAAATGTGGGGTTTAAGGAGGGTGATCACAGAGTTTATTATCCAAACCAGGACACTTGTGAGAACGAGGAGGGTGCTTTTAATTACAGCAGGGTGGCAAGCAGGCCTGCCCATCTTGCCTAAGGAATGCTGATGGACAGGTCACCCTCTACCAGTAGGAAGTCAGGTGTGGGCCCTGGCAGGAGAGTCTTGGAAGAATGTGACTCTCCTCCAAGTTTCTGTCTACATGTGAAGTGGAGAAGAGTGGATGCCCTCAGTCTGGGCCTGGCCTTCAGGCTTTGTTGGTGGTGGGCTGTGGAGAATGGATTTTCCTTCTGTGCAAACCGAATAGATCTCTGGGAATCTTTGTGCCTCTGGTCAGTCTTGCTAGTACTGGACCCTAGCATGTGAGTTGACCAGCTTCCAGTGAAACAAATAGGAAAGGCCAACTTATTCAGTGAATGTTTCTAGAGCTCCTCCTAGGTGCAGAGCTCTTGCTACAGGCATGAGGAACAGCAATTCCTAGCCTAGTGGTGGAGCCTGGCAAGGATTGCTGTAGGAGCTCCCAGAGGGGACAGCTCCGACTGGTGTTGGTAAGAAGGCTTCCTGAAAGAGAGGCTTCTTAAGCTAGGTCCTAGGATAGACAGGATTCACCAGATGGAGCCACTGTGATGGGTCTCTGGTAGGGGAGGCATGAAGCTCTAAGCAAAGAAATCCCTACTAAGAATATCTGGAGGAAACTCAATCAACATGGGGCAGTGACCCTTCGCCCATTCCTCCTGCCAATTAACACCATTAAATGGGGCCACCCCCTCAGGAGAATTAGTGGCACCTTAGGGGCAGAGCCTGGAAACCATACTGAATGTATTGATGAATACACTTACATGTTTTAAACTTGAATCTTTTCATGCTGCCTTTCCTTAGAGGTTTCCAGAAAGGCAGTCACTCACTTTCATTTTCTACAGTACACAAATCTGTGTGTGTGTGTGTGTGTGTTTTGGAAAGAAGAAACAAGAAATGTCTTCTTGCTCAGTGGCTCCCACACCAGATGACAACTGAATTACCTGGGAGGCTGTTAAAAGTGTAGATTCCTAGAACCCCCGCAGTCTGGAAATAAAGGTCCCCAAAGTCTGCTCTCCAGGAGCAGCCCTTCTGGTTCCGATGAGACACCGGCTGTGTTTGCCCTAGCAAGCTCCCCAGCTGAACGCTGCCCTGGGGAAGTACTCCCCTTGCCCCTTGCAGCCCCCCCAGGTGTGCCCCCATGACAGCATCATGGGAAGGGGAAACATGTTCTGGGTTCGCCCTTCACCTCTCTGCCCCACGACAGCCTTCTCCTCCAGCTGCCTCGCTACACGTGTGCCCATCTGCCCACGAGGCTCTGAAGATGCTCAGAAGTAAGAGGAGGGAACCTGGGCTCCTTTCCCAGGGTTGTCTGCTCTGCTGCAGCCCAGGAGGTCCCAGGCCTGGCCATGGGGAGCAGGAAAGGGGAGGGCAGCTGAGGTTCCTGTGTCCCCTAAACCTTGTCTGGCCACCCTGGGCATGGGCCCAGAGATGTGGAAAAAGCAGGGGCCGAGGAAGGTGCCCACTGCGGAAGCAGTCAGTCCTCAAGCCTGACCCTCTTCTCCCCACCAGGCCAGAGAAATGGATGCTGACAGCTACCCAGGTACAGAGGCAGAGCCCAGATCCTTTCTCCTGCTTTTACCTTGTACTATTTGGGAGTTGTTTCTTTGCAATTAGATTTTGAGTTTTTTGAAACAAGAACCTTACCTTATTCATCATGTTATTTCCACACCTTCACACAGTGGTGGTCAGTAACTGCAGAATGACCAACTGGTGGACATGTTGCATGTCTAGTGTCTGGGCCCACCTTTAGTGTCCCTTGTAGTCTGTGTCCATCTGGACCCCCCTCTGTGTGTGGCCCCAGGAGGGTCTGCCCCAGGTCTGTGAGCCTTTGTGGGTGTCTCCATCTCTACAAGTCCACATGTTGGTGGGCAGTTTCAGCTAGTCTTAACTTCACCTTAAGTCCATTTTCTTTTCAGCTACCATTTAGCCTTCTCCACAGGAAAGCAGGGGTCTGGAAGCTTCAGCCCTAGGGTCGCACTTCCACCACAGACGCTCCCAGCAGAGAGATGTCCTCCTTGCCTTTCACGTGCACCTTGCAGCGTCCCACAGATGCTCTGTCACTGGCTGCGCCTGCTGGCATACTTGTCATTTACTGGCTCATTCCCCAGCAGGCACTTTATGGCCCCATTTTGATGCTGGGGTCCGGGCTCTGCCTGTATTTTCTCACTGGGAATGGGGCCAGGAGGCTGGTGTGAGGGAGACCACTGTGGTCTCACACCTTCTCCAGCTTTGTAAGTCAGGGGATGAAAGTTAAACAAGCACCCTAGGGGCCTGGTGCTGTCACCTGCTGAAGAGGAAAGTCTGCTAATGAGGCCACCTTCCAGGAAGGCCAGCTCAGAAGGCTGCCTACACTGGAGCAGACACTAACAGGGACTGACTTGGCTGTGAGGAATAGGTGCCTAATGAAGTTAACAAGTGGGGGACCCAGAGAGATGGCCTAATGGCAGCATTGCAAGGCCAGAGCTCAGCGGGAGCCATGACCTGAGGCCCCAGGAATGAGGGGAAGCAGGGTCAGTGCAGGCCCGAGGGGGGACCTCCTCTGAACTAGAGAGAGCAGGTCACACTGCCTGCTGAAAAAGGGCTAGGGACTTCAATGCTCTTCGGGGTAGGCCCTCCAGGGAACAGGGCCCGCGGGATAGTAAGCTGGGTGCTGCATATGAGGAGCAGCGATGAGAGCCCTGGACTTCTCCCTGAGACGCTGTGGAGGCCTGAGTTCTGCTGCGGCCACTCTGATGAACGCTCAGTCTCTTCCGGCGGGCAGAGCTCTCCTAGTGCCTTTTGGGGCCAAGCCACTTGTAGCTCCTTGCCTACAAGAACCCCAGGGTGCTGATGGAAGCAGCCACTGCACCCCTCTGTGTGCACAGGAAGACCTTCCCAAACATATAAGAGCTGTGTGACCCAGGAAAGCAGAAAGTCAGAGCATCCCACCCAGTGCCAGCTGGCACCCTGCTGCCTGTGGTGAAAAGCTGAACGCATGTGTGCCTGGGGCAACAAGCCCTTGGCAAGTCTGATAGTTTTTTTTTTTTTTCAGCCACATTTAAAGAGAACTTAATTGAGTGGCCAGATGACAGATCACTTTTGATGATAGATCACTACACAATTTTTGGCATACACCTCAGAAGGAGTTCAGAGAATTGAGTGACAACTACTTATTTATATGACATCTAATTATGTATGTGAAAAGGTTTCTCAGCATGTAGAGCTATAAAAATGAAAAAAAGAAATGATGCTGAGTCCTGATTCATTCTAGCAAGAAATATTCTTCCATGGATTCATCAACAATTAAATTCCTATCCATTCATTAAGCCATGTTTTCAGTAAGTTTTCCTTTTTAGGCTTAACAATTATTTATGAAAACTTTTATTGTCTGTGGTATTATTGAATTGTCTGCTATATTTTATACCAAAAATAGCTGTAATAACTCAATCCAAGTAATATTTTTAAAAAAACTCTCAGACTCTTTGGTCATAGGAAATTAAATATTTCTATTTCAATTTCTAAGTATATTTTTTGTGGCAGTGAAGTATGCTAAGGTGAGCAAAAAAAAAGACTTTCAGCCATAAAAATACTGCATTAGTATAAAATTGTATAAGGGAAATGGAAAGAAGATACAAGTTCAAAGAGAAAAGGGACAATGTAAAATTTCCAACTGTTGAAGAAGAGCTGGTTAGTGTGTTTTTTTAAATAGATGAGGGTGGATATTAAATCACTCTGTGTTTGGATTCTGTATGATGTATTTTAGAGTTGTGGCAGTTTTATTTTAAAATGTAAATATTCACCAAATGCCAGAAATCACATCTCTTGCAAGTTTCAAAATGTATGTAAAAAATATTAGATGTCAACTTAGAGAAACGTGCAAGATGGGATACATAATTTTTTAAAAAATTGGTGGAGGGAGTCTCTAGAGCGAAAGGCCTGTTGAACTCTGGCCTGATGGCTGCTCCCCACCTGCCTCCCATCCTTTCCCGGGAGCTTCCTCGTGGTTGCTGCTCATGGACACTGCAGGGCCTTGTCTGCACTTCCCCCAGATTCCAGGGACTTGGTGTGCTGGGTGAGCTGTACCTCTCCTCCATGCCCGATAAAGCTGCCCTCGGTTGGGAAGGAGGGGCAGATAGTGTCCTGGGGAATAAGGGACAGACCTGCTGGTGTGGAGGTCAGAAAAGGAGAACCAGCCTCAGGCCAAGGCCAGAGTCCCTCCGCTGATCCGTGGCCCACAGCACCCCTCCAGGTGTCTGGTCAACTTGACCTGAGGGGAGGCCATTTCCACACAGGCATGGTTTATTTCACAGAGAGCAGAGATGCTGTTGCTGAAAGGGAAGCTGAAGCCCAGGCTGAGGTGGGGGCTAGGGCACTAGTTACAGTTACCAAAGACATACTTTGGTTTCCACTATCCCAACCCACGCTTCTCCCAGCCTCCCCCATGCTTCTCCTCCTGTTTCATCCTGCAATATGTATCTACTTGGCTTAAGAGCATATGGGCGCACTGGCCACCTCTTCCTCCCCACCTGCCCTTTTCCAAGGCCCCAATCTGTGGACTAGGCTGAGAAGAGGTCTCCCAGGAGAGGAAGCAGCATCCTTCCCAGGGCCCCAGGGGCATGAGGATGGCTGGGGAGGGGTGAGGGACGGCTTGGTCAGGGGTGGAGTGTAGTTGAGGCTACAGGTAAGAGGTAGGTCAGGGCTCTAGGTGAGAGGCCCTGGGATGAAGCCTGCCAGAGTAATCCTTTCCAGGAACAGCAGAGGGCAGCACTGAGTGTGGGGGCAGAAGGCAGGGAGCAGGGCCAACCATCACCTGCACCTGGTGGAAGGCCTGCACCTTGAGGGGCAGAGGAGCCCCGGGGCAGCCATGAACTGTGTGACCTGGGCAGGCCCCTCCTGGCTCCAGGCCTCAATTTCCTCATCTGTGAACAGGGCTACAGTGAGGATCCAGCCAGAAAAGCTGGTGGGAGAGAATGCTTGAAGATGGATGATCGGCTCTTCTGGTGGAGGGGGTCCTGTGACCCCACTCTGCTCCCTCTTGCACTGAGACTTGGGGCCCAGCCAGCCCTGGTTCCTGAGAGTCCCCTGTGCTGCTGTGCAGCCCCTCCTGCTGGACTGGTGAGCTGGGCTCTCCCCTCCTTTCTGCTCCCACCAGGGCCCGTGAGGCAAGGAGAACCAGAGAAAGGTGTGGGAGATCAGAAAGCTGTCCTGGCGGCAGGGTGATGCACACGTGGGGCGTCTGGGGGCTCACACAGCAGCTGTCTGTTTGACACTGTGGAAGCTGATCCGCGTGGGCGACGTGGGGATGGACATGGCCCGGGCCACGGGCACTCGGAGGGAGTGATGGTCCTGCCAGCGGTGCCACCTCTTTCTCACGGCAGAGCGCACCTGCAGGGGCGACAGAGGCTTAGCTGGGGCCGAATGGGCCAATCCTGGGACAGTCCTCTCTCTTGCTGTCCTTGCAGTCCCTTGCTGGGGTGTCCTCCCAATTGCTACCCTCACACCCAGGGCCTATCTGGTTCCAGAACTGGGGTGCTTCCCTTGATGCTGTTAGCTCTGGAAGCCACCGCCTGCTCTCTGGGCACCCTCCTTCCTCACCCCTCTTCTTGAGAAGCTTCCTGCACACTTCCTTGGGGTGCTCTGCCTTCCCAGGTTGAGCTGCTGTGCCACCGAATGCCTGTGGCAGGACTGGAGCACCAGCTTCCTGGATCTGCTCCTGCACTGTCCCAGGCACCTGCTGCAGTGTGTGCTCCACTTGGTCACCTCCCTCCCTGCTGAAAGGCCTTCTCTGGCCTCCTCAGCAGCCAGGACCTTTCCCACTTCCTGACAGACCCCACCTCATTTGCCAGAGCATGAACTGCTGAAGTTCTGTTTTAAAATCTGATCATCACAGGTGCCGTTTTATTCTCACTTGTACTGCAACAGAGGAACTTTTCTCCTAAATGGATCATGTCCCCCACATGCGAACCTAGTATGTGGCCAAACAAAAGAAATGCCCCATAAGCGTTCATTGTCTGCTTGCTCTAGTGGCTCCTCTCCCTGCTATCCAGCCCATTCCAGTCTTCACTGTTGGACTTTCCCTTCTGGGCTCTGCTTTCATTGTCACAGACGTAGGAGCGCAGAGACACCCTGCCACAGGCAGCTGAAGTGGCCTCAGGGTAGCACTGGCATTCCTCTGGAGTGTTTGCAACCTCTCAGGCCCTGGGAACTATGTCTGCTCTTTGCCCCAGAACCCACTATGTGTCCTTACCCCACATAGGTCTGAACTGGCTACTGGGGTTCTGGGCCTTCTGAGTTAGCAGGCTTCATCTGGTGCCTTACTCCGGGAAGCTCACCCCCTGTGTGGTCTTGTCTGTGGTGGGGGAATGTGCCAGTATCTTTTCTGCTTCCTGGGTCCATCAGGCCTGGATGCACACTCCCACCGGACTTGCACCTAGAAAGCTTCCTTCTGCCAGCACCTGTGTTCTGGCCTCTTTCTCCTGCAGCCTGGGCTCCCCTCCTCATCCATCTCTCCGAGGAATTTGTGGAGTGCTGGATTCTTATGTTTGGCATGCATAGTTGACTGTCTAAATTGGCTCAAGACCCTCAGGTGGGATTCCTGTCCCCCGAAAGCTGAGTGGTTTCCCTGGCCTTCCCCTCCCTTCTCCCTTCTCAGGGCACAGCTGAGCAGAGCCAGGACTTGGGTGCTCCTGGAAGGCTGGGCAGCCCCATTCATGCATGTGGAGTGGGGTCCACAGGCCTAGAGCCCAGGCCTCCCAGGGCTGGTCTCTTACCTCTCCATTGAAGAAGCAGTAGAAGACAGACACAAAGAAACCCTGCAAAGGAAGGAGGGAGTGGTCAGCGATCTTCCTAGTGAGCTGCTCTGCCTCCCCAAGGGATGGAATGGGGGCAGAATGGCTGGGGGACATGGACCCCAGACCCCAGAGGCTCAGGGCTAGGTAGGGCCCCAGCCCTCATGATGCAAGTGTGCCAGGCAGGGTCCACGTGAGTGACAGGCTGCCATGAATCCTCAGAACAGGTGCTGGGCTAGCAGCAGGTGTAGGTGAGAGTGACTGGGACCCAGATGGGGGCGGGGGGCTCACCTGGGCTCTGGGGTGTGGGTAGTAGGGGCCAGGGTTCAGGCTCAGCGTGCGCATGCACTTGTATTTCAGTGTGTATGTAAGGGATCCACGTTTGCGCCAGTCCTGTGTGTGAACTCTTTGTGGAGGTGCAGGCATGAGTGTTCCAGGCCAGGAGAGCCCGTAGCCCCCATGCGGCCATGTGCCCCACCTGGAACGACTGCAAGAAGGAGTTGAAGTAGATGAACACGATCTGCGACAGGTCATCCTCCCCAGGGTTGACAAAGAAGAGCATGTAGGTGACGCCCAGAAGGGGTAGGAGAACCAGGGTAGCCTTCACTGCCTTCCTGCGGGGCGAGAGGGACAGGACCAGTCTGAGCCATGCTGCAGGTGGGCCTCACCCAGGTGGCATTTCTTTGGGAAGCCTGAGCCTCCCAGGGTGAGGACTCACCCGGCCTGGAGGCAGGGGAATGGCCCAGATGGCCTCCTTGTTTTTCCACCTCCAGGGACCAAAGCACCCCTCATTTACCTATACTGGATTGCTTCCGATGTGGTGGACTCTCGTAATTTTGTCATTAGGATCCTGACGATGTTGAATAGAAATACAAAATTGATCTGGAGAGAGGGAGGTGGGTGGAAGCAGGGAGTGTGAGGTAGGGATGAGTGAGGAGGCAGCCACCTCCTATGACCCACTGAGAACCCTGTCCCAGGCACACACCTGTCCCACCTGTCACCCCCAGAACCTCCTGTGTCCCAATGCCTCTGTTCCTCTCTTATCAAGGCAGGCAGGCACCCCACATGCTCAGTGCCCTGACACCTGAGGGCTCCACCCCAGCCCTGGTGGAGGAAAAGGAGCCTTAGATTCAGTGAGCAGGAGCACAAGGGCCACTGTCTGGGGTCACGACTCCAGAAAGTCCCTGAGCCCCTGCCCCAGGCAGGGATGCCACAGGAGCTGAGGCTCTGCCTGAGCGTCTTCCCTTCCCTGTCACAGGGACCCTACCTGTCAATTGAGGGTCTCCTGAGGCCCTTCTGACAGAGGAGAGCCTGCCCTGCAAAGTGGACCTGGCAGGAGGCAGTGATTAGTAACTGTTGCTGAAGGAGTGATTAACCTTTCACCATCCCTCCCCTGCTCCCAGAAAACTCCAGAACCTTCGCAGACATGCCTGAGGCAATGAAGATGAATGAGCTGCTGGGATGACTCCAGAGCTCCTGGAAGGACCTCATGTATCTTCATTCTGAGCCTTCTCTCACCTTCAGAGCCCACTGCACCTAGTCATCCCCCAAGGCCTGCCTGTGTGGTGCCTGAGTCAGCCTCATGCTGGGTCTCTGGGGGCCTGCAAGCGTCCTGTTCATGTGTCACCCAGTCTGTATGGTTGTGCACTGCCTCTAAACACTGGGCACAGCTGTGGGGCTGTTCTCTGTGCTGCAGTGCATGTGTGTGCCTCAGACTGTGGTCATGCCTGTGTGTCTCCTCATCCATCTCCACGTGTTGAGAAGACAGGAAAGTGAGTGTGTGTACACCTGACACACTAGGAATTTTTCCCAAGAATGTGCCCGTGGGCCACAGGAAGATACTCATGAGCCCAGGGGTGTCTGCTGGCTCACATGTGTGCCCACGTGTAAGGATGTGTGTGTCCTGGATCCCAGGCTGGGAGTGGGGGGACGCAGCAGACCTCATGGGACAGATATCCCTGTGGCCTCTGGGTGACCCCTAAGCTTGAGGATGCTCTGGAGGCCTGAGGAGTCAGACTCCTCTTCAGCCCCAGGCTTCTGCTCTCCTGCGCACAGCAGCCTAACGAGCCTGGGCTAGTGGTGGGATGGGAGACCTCAGCCCGGGCTGCCCATGGCCTGCTGCACCTGCTTCCTCTTAAGGCTTATCTAATTTCTAGCTCCTTGGTTTCTGGTATATTCCCTTGGGTCATGAGGTCACCATAACACACAGGTCAATCCTAATTTTCTCATACAAGTGACACAAAACACCTGACCTTTTCTGAGTCTTCCTGACATCTCTGGGAGTAGAGGCTGTTGGAACCAAAATACATTCTCAATTCTACTGCATTGCCCTGCATTAAATTTTATTCACCCATCATCCATCAACCCACTAACCAATTCATTCAATTATCCATCCACTTTTATCCATACATCCATCCAAATTTATTCACCTTATCCATTCAACAATTCATCTACCCACACACCTACTCACCCATTTATTTAATGTGTAACTTCATCCATCCATCTAAATAAACATCTACTCAACAATCCATTTATCAATTTATCTGCTTACTTACCCACTCACCCATTTATTTATTGGGTAACACACGTATGGCCACCTATCCGTCCATCCATCTATCCAGTCAATAGCAACTGGCAGCTCAGGCCCCACCCCAACCCCACCCGGCACATTAGCTCCTCCTCAGGGGAGCCAGCTTCAATCCCAGTGAGGCTCTGTGGGCCAAGTGCCCCACCCTGGTTAAAGCCCAGGCCTGGCATGTGGTGGCAGGCATCAGGCCACAGTGCAATCTGACTAGGGGTCAGGATGTTATAGTTGCTACCAGGAGAGACATGAGAGGCCTAGTGCTTCTGAACATGGGTCTGGTGCTCACACCATTCCAGCTTTTGTTCTAAGTACTTTTTGACTGTTCCTTAAGCAGCAGCCTTCTGAGGTAGGTAGGATCATTATCCACATTTTACAGATGCACAAACTGAGGTTCCAATAGGCTACATCACTTGCCTATGTCACAGAAGCAGGAGGCATTTGTGTCAGGATTTAAACCAAGGCAGCTGGCCTCAAAATCCTTCTCCTGACCCCTGCATCATGCTGCTGCTCCTACGGGGTTAATGAAACTTGGGCCAGATGGAAGGAACCAGAGGGAAGGCACTGTTCATACTACCAGTGGTGGGTGATTGGAGCTCAAGACAGCCCATCAGCACAGGATCCGAACCTGTGGCTCCAGGTGCCGGGAGCAACTGCTGGAGGCAGGGCCCTAGAGCTGCCAGCATGTATGTGACCCCATGAAGCACCACCTGGTGCTATAGATGGGAAACGGAGGCTCCAAGAGGACAAAGAGCTCCCTCAGGGCCACGCCACAAACCCCAGGTGGCTCCAACCACTGCATGTTCCACCACGCCACACAGCACATGCCCCCTACCCCAAGGGTAAGAAAACAGACCCAGTTCACAGGTTCTTGACCTCCAGCGCATCGGCACCACGAGCCCTCCCCCACCCCAAGAGGGCTCTTGCTAAGTCACGGTGCTCAGGCGAGCAGTGCTGGGTCCCAAACCTTCACCACAGGGAGGCAGGGAGGAGGACTAACATCTCTCCCTCCTTGGCTTCAGACACAGCTCCTCCTGTCCTTTTAACCCAGGCTGGGAGGGGAGGCCCTAGCCCTTGGGACTGTCCTCCGCCCAGGTATCGAGCAGGGTTACTGGGGTGCTGCCAGCTCACCTTAGGTCCCTCCTCTCGCCCCTCTCTTGCTCTCAGCTTCTAGTACCGACTGTTCACCATGTCCACTAACATGGCCAGCCTGCCTGTCCCACTTGGATCTGTGGATCCCAGTGATGTGTCTCCATGGAGCCCCACAAAATGGAACTGAGGGTGCCCCATAGCAGTCTGGTGACCAGTCTGCTTCACAGCCCTTGGAAGCATGGTCCTCAGTGGGCACCTCAGTTTTCTCCTGTTGTCATTTTCTATGCTGATGAAGTCTCAAAGGCCCAAATCCTGAGCTCTGCCAGGTGCAGGACTGTGGCTGGGCCACAGAGAAAGCCAGACAACACACGGCTCTGATTGGCAGGTCCCCTAGACACCATGGTTCTCTGACTAGCGTGTGCACATCAAAGGTACTTAGGACGCTTGTTCCAAATGCAGGTCTTGGGCCTACCCCAAACATTCCTAGTGGCAGGTAGGGGCCCTGGAATCTGCATTTGGAACAGGGGCAACTGGGATGCCGCTGGGAGGAACGCTGAGCAAGGAGACACCATCCATGGAACAAAGAGCCAAGGCTTTGGCCCGGCGGCCCTGATAAACCACACCGTATGTGCCCAGCCTGCATCCCCTGGGCCCCTGCATTCACTTGTACTTGCCAGGGACAGTTTCCAACCTGAGGCTTTCTCTGGTGACAGGGAAGATAGCTCAGCTCAAAAACGGGAGGCCTGGAAATGTGGGGATTTCACGTGCCCAGGGAACCTCCACTAACAAGGCTGGAAGTGTGTGGATAAGTAACCCAGCTTTCCAACCCTCGGCAGGCACCTCTGAGAGTCTCCCACGTGGTTGCCTCCTCGGGAGCCTGCTCATCCCCTCTCCCTGTGTTGGCTTCCTCCCTTCCTTGTCTTCCGCTCCCACCCTTCCCTGTGCTTTCCGGAACCGCCTCCAGACAACGCCTAGCGCCAAGTCCTTGTCGTGTGGCCCTCAAATTGGCTGTTTCACTTGACATTTGAGTGGCCTTGGGCAAGTTGCTTAATTAACCTTGCTGAGCTTCTGCCTCCTCACCCATCAACGCAGATATCCACAGAGCCCATTGTGGAAGGTCAGTACAGGTCAAAATACTTACGGAGAGCACCAAGCCCCGTACCTGGGCCAGAGCAGAGCCCAGTAAATGCCATGAGCCTTTCCCATGACAACAGCGACAGCAGCCTCCTGCAAACTCATCCAGCTACCTCACTTCTCAGAACCCAGAACTACGCGCATGTCTTGCAGTGGCAGAAGTGCAGCCGAGGACTGCTGGGGGAGGGCAGGGGTGGCAGGGACACCGAGCACGTACCCAGCCAACAGGATGGCAGACAGGTGGGTGACCTGTCTCTGAATCTCAGCTCAGCTAGCTGTTAGTGTGAGAGTGGGAAGGCTGATTCATCTCAGTTTCTTCACCTATAAAATGGGGAGCATAACCCCTACTTCCAGGTACCAAGGACGTGAGGATTGGGAGCAAGTAATGAAGATAGAGCTTCTGGAAAGGCTCAGTCTGAAACCTGGAAGCCCGGTCAGTGCAAATAGCTGGGTGTAGGCTGGGCACTAAGGAAAGACAAGCAGGGTCCTCCAGCTGAGAGGTAGGGTGGAACCAGAGAAGGGAGCGTGGAATAAGGGGCCGGGAGTTGGGTCTTGACAGCCAGACCTCCTTGCCTGTCTCTCTTTTCCATTCATTTCCTCACTGCTGTCCTACATTCTTGCAGAAGGGACTTGCTCCCCACTATCCTGGTTTCCCATTCAGGCCAGCCTTCCTTGGTGGGGTCCAAGGCTCAACACAATCCCTAACCCTGCAGGGTGGGCTGGTGGCAGCTGGGGATGGATCTAATGGGCCCTCTGTCCATGCTGGGGGGTGGGTGAGTCACTGCAGCTGGGACTCCAAGGACAGTCGTTCCCCCAACTGACTGCAGACAAGGACTGGCTTCTGACTCTGAAATACATGGCGCCCTAATGGTGGAATTTCAGGCAGTGGGTAGAAAACCTTTCTAGTCATCTCTGCTTCATATACATCAAGGACATTCCAAAGATGAGGGTCAAGTGAATCCTGAAGAAGTCACAAAAAGGAGAGTCAGGGAATAAAAGAGATAAACCGTAATTGTCTCCAAGGTGTATCAGAGAACCCCCCATTAGGCACCTGCTGTGTGCAAGAGGGGGATGGCGCTGTCTCTCAGTTCCCACAAGGAGCGGGTGGCCCTTTAAGGAAGCTGGTGCATACCAGCAGAAATTACCAAGCCTGAAATAAGTCTTACGTAAATGCCAATTTCTTATGGGGCATTTTTGTGTGTCTCTTTTTAAAAAATGTATGATATATAATGGGTTCGTTTTTGCAGAACGCAGCCTCTACTTAACTCTACCTTAATTAGAGCTCGTTGTGGATTAAAGATGGGGAGGCAATTATACCTTAGATACGAATACATTTGGCAAAGGGCGGAGAGCTGGACAAGGAACAATTGCTCATTACGCTTCATTCTGGTACCACAGCTCCAAGCTGGGGGCGGTGGGCTGGGCCCAGAGGGGGATCACTAGGGGTGGATGGAGATGCAGGTCTGGGCTCAACAGATGCTTGCACACCCTTCTTTTGCCACCAGCTGCCCCTTTGCTTGGCTGCTCAGCATTGTGCCTGGCAAGGGGACATCAGATATGGGAGGAACTAGAAATCTGCCAGTCAGACCCATTCTCCACCCAGAGACAGAACCTGAGGGCCAGAGTGGTGACGGTGTTGCAGTAGGGCATGGAGTGTGAAGGGAGAGCTGGGAGGGGGTGCCAGCAAGTAGGTGTCTTGTACAGAGTGCATGCAGGGTCCTCCCCAGGCCTCATCCTTCCCTACCTCCCAGCACCCAGCCCTGTTCCAGGTCCCAGAGAGGGAGGACCTACCAAGAGCACAAGGATGATGGGGCCCTGATAGATGTAGTCCACCAGGTCACCAGGCTCCTTGCCAAACCAGCATCTGCAAGGATGAGGGGGCTGTAAGTGGCCTGCTGAGCCAGAACCAGGGTCCCACTACAGTTCTTGGACCCAGGGTCCTCTGGATAACTCTCCCTGAGACCCAATCTCCATGGCTGCACCTTCACTAAAAGGCTTGGGGACAGCTCCAGCTGCACTCACCACCCTGGCTTACTCCTGGGCTGCCTTTTGCCCTACATGGAGGGTCTGGTCTTGCCAGCTGGACTGAGGGCAAACCCTGGCTCTCCTCCTCCTCCTCGCTCCCCAACCCATCCCAGACTACTGGGCCCAGGGCTGGGTGTGCAGGAGGCTCATGAATGAAGGGAGAGTCAGCTCCCCCTGGTTGGCCCAGGGCCCAACCACCTGGCACTACCTGTTCCCACATTGCTTGGAACCCACTGCTCCGTGTGCCAGGCACTCAGCTGCATAAAGCAGCAGATGTGGAAGTGGGAGGCTTTTCCCAGCCTGAACCCTGGCCTTTCTCCAAGTTGAGGCTTATTCACCCAGCAAAGGGAGCCCCTGTTACCAGAGTCTTGGGTGCTCTAGTGGGATGCTGGTGGGCTGGAGAGGCTTCTGCATCAGGGGGAAGAGCTGGGCCAGGACCCAGTCTGGCTCTGTCAGCGCCTCCTACTACACTAAAGGAGGGCCACCTAGGCTTCCGGACATCGTGGAAATCCTGTGCCCTCTGCAGCCTCAGAGGCCATCCAGTGCACCCACCTCAGACAGGCATCTGTCCTGCTGCCTCCCGGCACTAGACTTTCTGGTCTTTGCTTGAATGCCCCCATTGACAGGAAGCTCACTACCTCCCAAGGCAGCCCTCTTATTCTTGCAAAGCCTTTATTGTTAGAGCTCTTCCTAATGTTGAGCTCTTGGAACCCATCCATTCCCACTCTCCACCAAATCCCATTTGTTTTCTCCAGCCTCAGAGAGCCCTGAGAGATTTGTATACAGAAACTGACATTCTACAGTTCCTTTTTCTCTCAGGTGGTGGCACCCAATTTCTCAGCCAGTCCTTGACTGATCTATGGCCAGATTTGCCAACATCTGGGTCATAGCTTAGTATATCAAAGTCTCTGGTGCAGGGAGAGTCCCAGGACAGAACACTGTACCCCAGGCAGAAAGTGGGTGCCTGAATAAAACAAGTGCCCACTGCCCTGGCCTGGGGGTCTGTGAAAGACTCATTAACACAGCCTTGGATGTGCTGTGAGCTGAAAGCCTCTAGCCCTTGGCCTCCTCCATATAACCCAGGCTGGACCTGCCACATTAAACTCTGAGGAGGAAGCCTTACCAAAGGTTAAATGGGTCATGCCTTCAAGCACTTAAAAGGAACAATGATTCCTAACTCAGTTCACAAAGCCGACTTGACACCTACCACAGGAGACGTGAGGGCTGGTGATATTTTTTCAGTTTAAGGAGGATCGTAAAGTGAATTTGTCCTGGCACAGATGCCCTGTGGCTTGGCTGGGGCCCATGTCTGACCTGACCTAATATCCCTCAGCCCCCATAGCTGTTTTGTCCTACTTACTGTTCATTCTCAAAATAGAGTTTGCTGATGGCCCAGGCGGTGATGATTGGGCAAGGGACACCTGAAAGAGTACAGATGTGGGCTGCAGTGGACAGCCAGATGGACAGGGGACCCTCTGGGAGAATACAAGGTGGGGTGACCACAAGGGACCTGGATCCTGTTTCCAGGCATCCAATGGCCGGCTATCCATGACTGCAGGGCCCCTGTCCCTGGGCCCCGTCTCCACCCCTCCCCCATGCTCTGCATCCCCTCAAAGCAGTCAGAGAGATGAGGGGACAGTGTGATTTTACAAGATTTTTTTGATAGGGAAGTGGAGGTGGCCAATTTCTTTTCTGAAGCCAAATACAAAGGTCTTTGGATTGGCCATGTCAAGCAAGGAAAAGAGGGCTACTGTGGGATGTCCTTTAGGAGACACTATCTGATTCTTCCTCAGGCATATGGACTGCATGCTAGGACTATTCTTGGAATGGCGGGTAGAATTGAGGATCTGTCCTTGGATCGGAAAGGAGGCAACCTTATCAGTAGCGCAGGGGGCTCCCTGGTAGGCCCCACTGGACCCCTGGGACCCTCACACCATCCAATGAAGAGGAAGAGCCACTTGGGCAGGCGCTCAGTGGAGAAGGTCATGACGACGGCCGTGTGCAGGTAGCAGCCCTCCACGAACATCCAGAAGAAGTTGGTCACCACGAAGTAGTTGAAGATGGTGGTGATGCAGCGGCACCAGACCTGCAGGGGTGGGCGGCAGTCAGAGGCTGCCAGGGGCCAGGGCCCACATGCACGTATGGGCTCTGAGGAAGGGAATGCCATTTTAGTGGGTTCATGCACATGGCATCAAACACCCTCGAGTCTCATGCTGGGACGTTTCATCCTTCCTCACCCTCGTTCAGTGGTTCGGACTAAGTTAAGGAGCCAGTCTTCATGGGTCCCAGTGTGCCTGTGACTTCTCCTCAGTGCTTTCTAATCTCCCTTTTCAATAGAGAGTCTGGCTCTGAGCTTTCTGCAGGCAGAGACTAGAACTGAACAACAATGTTGTTTACATTGTCATTTTTCTGAGGGTCACCTTCAATCCACAGCAAGTCAGACTGGTTTCCATTAAATGATGGAATATGCAAATGTCATGTAGAAAAAAAGTGGTGAGTCAAAAGAATATTGTTATATAAATTATAGCACTGGGTCTTAGAAGGTGAGCTGCAGCCATGGAGGTGATTCTCCAAAACCTCTTATTTTGAGGGATTCTGGACTTAGTATGGTCATTGTTGGTGCTGAGACAGATTCACCAACTCTGGCCTCTGGCACGTCACTGCACCTCTCTGACCATGACATGGAGAAAATGGTAATGCCGACTGGCAGGGTGGTTAAAGGAGATGAAGGACGGCAAAGGCAGGCACCAAGAAGTGAATGTTGTTGGGGAGTTTCTCCCTGTCTCCCAGAGCAGGGTTGCCCTCTCAAGCACCCTGCAGAAGGGAGACAGGATTTGGGCAGAGGAAAAGCCCACCCAGAGCCACAGTGAGCCACAGCCAGGGCTCAGGCCTCCAGGCCAGAGTGCTTCTCAACAGATCCCACCTGGCCATCTTTCCCAGGGGTTTGTTCCCAGGGAACCCTCAGAACTGAGGCTAGGACACAGGGCATGGTGGTCAGCGGAGCCGTGTGTTGAGGAGCTCCCAGCCCCCGTGCACGGCCCACTCCCTCTCTGGCTCTGGCAGCCCTCACTGTCAGGTAACCCCCCCTGCCAAGCTGAGCGCTGCCCCTGTGGCCTTCCCAATGCTCCCAGCTCTGATCTTGGACCCCACGTGGTTGTCTCTCTCCTCTGTTCTGATAAAGTCCTGCTGAGGTGGGAAGCTAAAGATCCCTTCCTCCCAACCCTGCTTTTTCTCCAAGTTAAGCAATGTCTTATCAGTACAAGCCAATTTGGGGCTGCAGAACCCCCAAAACTGGATTGAACTCAGTTGGTGCTGAGGCTAGGTGTCTGCTCAGGTCCAAACATCCAAAGAAGATGTATTGACAAGTCTCTAATGGTGTGCCAAAGAACTCTGTGTGGGGCTCCATTCCAGTCTTGGGTTCTACAATGACCTGGACACAGTACAACAGCAGTTGATACAAATCCAGGATGAGGGCAGCTACCATGTGGGATGGCCTGCTCAAGAGTCTGTGGGCCCAAATGTACGGGCATCACTACAGGGTCACCTAACCACTCTGAGCCTCAATTTCCATATCTGTATAATGGGAAAATAATCTCTACAGGTCTCTCATTGGAATTAAGTGAGATGATCTCAACAGATTAATTTCAGCCTCATCTTCTCTGAATTCACAAGATGGGAATGCAATAGGATTAACTAAAGTCTGGTATTAGGTTTGCACTGCTCCCAAGACACCTGTCGGGCAGGCCTCCCCTGATCCCCCAGCCCTGACACTGCAGGGATAATGATTGGGGTGGAGGTGAACTCAGGTTCAGGTATGTACCTGAGGATCAGTAAAGAGTGGTGGGTGTCTTCTAGAACCCAGAGCCTCCCCCACCCCCAGACCAGCCCCAAGCCTCTGCCCAGTGACCTCATTACTCTCATGCACTTCATGATCGATGAGCTGTAGCAGGAACCACATGACATTTCGCAGGATAAAGGTGGTGATGAGGTTCCAGTGAATCACATTCCGCAGGCAGCGAATGCTCCTATGGGAGGACCAGGTAGGGATCAACTGGGACAGGGTCCCTTGAGGCCAGGTAGGGACTCAGCCTGGGGTGAGGGTAGGGCTGCACCAGGAGCCCAACTTCCACTTGTGGAGGCCACAGTGGGTCTCTCAGAGCCAGACCCCTTTCTGTCCTGCATGCCTGCCAATGGGCAGTGCCCTGGCACCTCCCCAAACCCCCATTGTCCACTGGCCTGGAGTGGAGGTGAGAGTGTCTGGGAGAGGTGAAGGGGCCACTGTGGGAGCAGGGGCAAGGAAAAAGCAGGGGGTGGGGGAGACTCACCGCAGGGTCAGGAAAAGTAGGAAGGCAGCCACCAGGGCTGCCACAGAAACACAGTGGCCCAGGTAGTTGACAAAGAGGGCAACACGGTAGTGCAGGTCATACTCCCTCTGCTGGACAGACAGATGGACACACAGGCAGATGGAGGAGGCAGGGGGCACGTGGAGAGGCTGGGTGTTCTAGTGATGGCCACCCTGCATGTTCTGACCTTGGGGACAGAGTGGCTCCAGGCATTATCACCAGGCCTGGCTCCTAGAGCTGGATCATATTCACTCTGGGGTGGGGGTGGGATTTGGTATAAATGGCTGTGGCCAGGCCTCCTACCATACAATTTTAGGGCAGATTTGGATACAGTGTATTTTGAGATATGTCAGAGATGTGGGTATACAGATTTTATTTTCTTTTAACTTTGGCCTGAGAGCTGCCACACCTGTGTTTAGTCTCAGCTCAAACCCTAGCTGGCTGAGTGACGGAGGGTGAGTTGATACATATCTCGGGGCTTCAGTTCTGACATCTTACAGTGGAGCCAACCTGCCCTCTGCCTCAGAAGCAAAAAGACCTATGGGGAGTCTGGGGCACCTTGGGATCACTCTGCCCTGGGTGCAGCAATGAGGGGGTGCATTGTCTATAGAGAACTTAAAAACAACATTAAAACCATATAAAAAGCAGTCCGCTTTTTATTATTGCCATGTGCTTGCAATTCTCACAGAGGCAGTGATAAAATACCCCTTCCTGCCAGAGCAAATGATTCCCCAGCCCACCCCTACTTTGGTTTGCCACTGCTTGGAGGAGGCTGTCAGATGGAGGGTGAGGACAGAGGTCTGGGAGGAACCTCTTTCTTTCCTTCGTGACCGGTCCTGCCTGCCACTCTTACGGCCTCACTGCAGACCTGCTCTGGCTCACATTTTGTAGAATCACTATCTCAGGGTAGACACATGTTTTTCCTCTGAAGTTGAGCTTCCTTTGGGAAATGTTCCAGCCCCAGTGGAAGCTGTAGTAGGTGAATGAGGAAGGAGATGGAGGGGGGAACGTATTATCCTGGGTCAGAACAAGGCAGAGTTCTAACGGCACCACAGGCAGAATGGAAATCCAATTCTAGGACAGGGGGCAGGCGAAGTAAGAGTGGGACCTAGTTCCCCAGGGCTGCCGTGTTGGAGGTTGCCCTTGTTTCCACGTGGAGTCGCAGAATCAGAATGACAGATGGGTAAACTGAGGCCCAGAGGAAGAAGGAAGTCACAGAGCCTGTGGGGGCACTGCTTACATGTTCATTCCCTTCTTGTGTCTTGTGCCGCCTGGGTTGGGACTGTCGCCAGCCTGAGCTCTCCTGAAGGTGGTGCTCCGTGTCCACCTTCTCTACCCCACCACTGGGTCACTGGGCGCAGGAAGGAAATGGGGGCAGGGGCAAAGAAGTACAGTAGGAGTGCTTGGGTGGCACAAGGACTGATCCTACCACCCTTGGGATCCTCTGTACTCAACCTGAGTCCTAATGCCTACATGAGGACTGGGGTCAGGCAGGTGGGGGCCACTCACCTTATCATCCAAAATGGGCTCACACTGTGAGTAGTTGATCCGTGAAGCCCACGTCCCATTCTCCAAGCACTCTCGGTAGGCATTCCCTACAAAAGATGCCAACCATCGAGAGGCAGGTCACTCCCCTCCTCAAGAACACTCTCTGGCTCCCTGGTGCCCCCAAGATAAGGTCCATACTTGTCAGTCTCTCTAGGCCAGGAAATATAACATGTGTCTGAAAGTTCACATGGAAGTCATTTATGTGAAAATTGAACAAAAGGCCTATTAAATATGGTAGCTGAAAGGCATGATAAAACCCATTTTTGATACAATCTTTGACGAACATTTCACACACATTTTTCAAGTTTGGTTTGAAATGGAACCCAATTTTGAGACCTGGGTTTTGGCAGAAGACTCACTGCTTTCAGCATACCAAATAATTCAATCCTTCTCTCAATCACTTTGTGCTTATGAGATAGATATTTTTTCCCACCAGTACCAGCATTTCCATTTTAAGAACAGCTAGCATTTACAAAGTAACTGTTTACCACACATCAGATCCTCTTCTATTTTATATATACTTGTCCATTTAATCCTCATAACAACCCCATGAAGTAGGTACTAATATTAACCCATTTTACAGAGGAGGAAACTGAGGCACAAAGAGATTTAACCTATTTTCCAAAGATGTCAAAATGAGAAGAGGGAGAGCCAAGATTCAAACCCACACATCATGGTTTCAGGTTTTGTGTTCTTAACCTCTAGGCCACTGAGTAGTGGTACACAGGAATGAGGGGAATTTGGAGAAATTTATGTTGCTGACCTTGAGCTACAGTTGCCTGGGAGACCACATGTGATAGTTCTAAATGTTTGAGAACTGGCTTCCATATTAAAATTGGAATGTGATGTGTGAAAAGACATTTCAGAGCATCACTGTCTGATGTGCAAAAATGGAAGTTTTAGTGAAGGTCAAAGAATGCTCATTCTTACCTTTCTTTTCATCCTAGCTTGCCTGTCAAAGTCTAGCTCCTAGGCCACCCTCTAGGTAGCCCACCCTCCCCCTGAAGTCAGGGAGAACAGCTCCCACTTGAGAACACCAAAGCCCTGTGCCGGCTCCACTCTTCACTGCACTGTTAACATGTATCTTACCTCCCCAACTTGATTACAGATTCTCAGGGTGAGCCCCTGGGGGTGATTTGTACTAGGGTTCTGCTGTCTGGCTAACAGACAGTTGCTTGTGGATTTTTCTTTTGGGTTGATGTTAGATACACAATATAAAGCTAATTAAAACAAACAGCTCACAGAGCACAGAGTTACAGAGTTTGGAAGGCGTATTTAAGGCTGTGTATGGAAGCAGTGAGTTCTGAAATAATTAGGTTACTTTAAAAATCTACTTCCATTGAGCTGACAGTGAGTTAAAAGCAACAGAATTATTAAGGAGCACTTGCTGAGGAGCAGAAACAATGGGGGAGATCCTATTAGCTTAATTGTTTTTTAATTTGCTGCTCTGAGCTCATAGCTCTTTCAGATTCAGGGTTGTCACTGGCCTTTCCCTGCCTCTCAGGCCCATCATCATGAGGCCTGCCCCTGGGAGGGACTGGGCTTTGTCACCAGTCAGCCAGGCCAGTGCTGGTCTGAGGCCAGTTCTGACCCCAATGTGAGGACCCCACTCCTTACCCCTAATCATGGCACCATACTCCCCCATTGGGTTTTCTCTCTCCTCAGGATTATTTCACTACGTAAGACTTGTGTGTTAAGAACATTTGACACATGGGATCAATGGTGCTCCTGAACTAAAGGACAGGGTGTGGGGTGAAGCAAAAAGTACCCACGTAAAGGTATCTTGGGAAGGGTAGGTCCTTTTATAAAATAAACAATCCTATACTGATAGGGGTTTAGAGTTCCTCTCAGCAGGCCTGTGTGAGATGAGGCAGACCCTGGTCTTGGTTGTGGTTCAAAGGGCAGACAACCTTTTTATCTTCTAAGGATGTGTTCGTAGTTATCCAGCTTTCCTGAAGTTCAGTGTTAAGGCCTTTCCTCCAGAAAGGTCTCCTTGATTGCTCCTGTCTCATGGATTTCTCTCTCCTGAAGCCCCTACCCCCGGACTCCTAAAAGCCTGAGCCTCACACTCCAACTCTTGCTCATGACTGGCCTGAGTTGCCCAGACATGACTGTCTTCTCTCTAATCAATGTGGGGCTCCCCAAGTACAGGACCTCAGAATACCTATTTCCCAAGTTTGATATCTCATGGTGGTACCAACCATGAGGCAGGCTTGCGGATGAGAGGGAGTCAGGACAGAAAGGTTGCAAATGTGAGACCTCTTTACATTAATGCCCTTGGGGTACAAGTTCTGTGGATTCTCTCTCCTCATTTTCTTTTTTTGGAGTCCACAACCCTCCTGCCTGTCCTCTGCCTTCTCTCTAGTTGTCTTGCCTGTGCTGGCACAACGGCCTTCTGTCTTGCCTCCCTGCCTCTTCTCTTGGCCCCTCTACTCTCTCTAATCCTTCACCCTCACTGCCCAAGTGATGGAATAAAGCCAAACTTTCTTGGAGTAACATTCAAGGCCCCAGCCTAACTTCCTAACCCATCCCACCACTCTACACGTCAGGCGTCACTTGCACTAGCAGATACCAGCTCTATGCTGAACCACCCTTTGAAGTACCCTCCTCACTCTCACCCATTGCTCACAGACAAACTCCTGCCTTTTAAACTCCAGCTCAAATGCCACCTCCTCCTGGAGGCTTCCCCAACACTGTAGGTTTTTAAGCAATCTCTTTTTTTTGCTAAACATCTCCCCTATATCTTGTCTCCTATTAGAACAGGCCTTCACACTCCATTGTGCTTGAACCACAGCAACCCATGCACTTCATGCCACAATACAGGGCAAACACACACACATACTAGTGATCTAGTTTCACAAAGCAAAATCTATTTTGACCACAGCTATAATGTTTTTCTATTAGATTCTAATGAATTCTATTTATTTCATACACAAATGCTGGTCATGTCTCACAAAATTGACTTCACAATCCTCTTGTTGTGCTATAATAAAAAATTTGAAAAACAAAAATCTATTTTAGAGCACTTACTATAATTCACTATGGACTTCATCTCTTCAGACCTGATCCTCTTTTTTAACTTTGTTCCTGAACTTAAGCTCCCTGGAGACAGATGAGTAGGCAGAGACCCAGTTGGAATCACCAGGTCCCTTCTCAGGAGTGAGCCATCAAGTACACGTGGGATGAATTAAATTGACTCAGATGTGCTGAAACCTTGGAAAGCAGGGTCTGAGGCCCGAGATGTGGTGGTGGGATTGGTCCAGTCATGCCTGGGGATGAAATTCAGGCTATAGACACTGGGTACCAGAGGACTGGAAGACAGATGGTCCCAGCTGTCCAGGGGAGCTGGCTAATGAGGATGCAGAGCCCTCAGGCACACCTCTGGACATGAAAGAGTAAGACACAAAGAGGTCCCCATCCAGAAACCATGGAATTCTGAGGGCAGGTGGCCAGGCTAGAATCATGGGGATGGATACAGTGAGGTGGGTGCCTGTTACCATAGCAACACAGGTGCCCCTGCCAAAGATCGATGCCGATGGTGTGCAGTGTGGCCTGCCATGGGCATTAGGGTCTGGAAGATGTGGGCAGTATCTTCTCTTTCACGGCTCTGTGGCCTGGGAAGCTTGGTCCCTTCCCCATCAGTGTTCCAGAACTCTGCCCCCAGAGAGACACTGGCCTGTGGGAAGTTCCCATTACAATGCACTCTCCCTCTTTTAGATGTGGAAATTTTTTAAAATAAGAGTTATTGGTTCAGGGAGTTACCTGAGGGATTCAAAAGCCTAGCTGGGAGAAGACAGGGCTCTATATTCTAGCTGTAGCATTGCCTCTGGATAACTTAGCTACATCCCTTCCCTCTTAGCCTCAGTTTCCCCTCTCAGAAAAGGTAAACTGTTTCTCAGTGATGCTACTGGCATCTCAGGTGGGTCAAATATTTGTTGAGCAGGACTTTTCAAGACACTGAATGCCAGCAGTACCCTTAAGCCATTGTGATAATACAAACATGCCTAGTGTTCCCTAGGTTGGCATTTCTATCTCTGATTGTCTAGTTGACAAGGTATGGGAGACAGGTCATGCGAAATAGAGAATATGAGGGACCATTTTTGGTGGTAATTATACGGAAAAGAGTGCAAGGGGTAAGTTGGACATGCGGAGTGAGTGGGACTGAGGGAAGGGCAGCAACATGGTCATTGGCTATATGAAAAAAAAGTACAAGAAGTGAGGGTGTGAAGGTGCTGGCAGAAAGGTGAGAAGGACCAGAAGCAATATTTACTGAAGGAATGAAGTCACTGTGTGGAACAGAAACTTTCAGGACCACGGACAGCAGAATACCATTCCCCATTCCCTACCATACAGGCAGAGGGGGAACCCTGGAGAGCTACAGCTCTTCTTCCTCCAAGTGCTTCCATGACTGCTCCAGCCCCTTGAGGATTTGGTTGCTCACTTCTAGTCATGCTAGGTCAGGACTGTTCTCTCACTGACCCCTGTAAAGGGATCATGCTTGCCCAGCTAGCCCAGGGGGCAAGACCTTTACCCTCTCCTCTGGCCCTTTCTTAAGGGCTACACAGAGCTGAGTACATAGGAGCTAAGGATGGACCAAGTTTTTGCTGTTGTCTTATTACTACAGAACTCTGAGCCATGATGAGAGGGTCAAGAGGGTAGTCTGCCACCCTAGGAGCCAATCTACAAAGCAAATGTAAAACAGTCACACATGCAGGAGGCATCTAGGGTCTTGTGCACATGCCATAGGAAGGCTGAGTCCCGCTGCCAGGACTGTTGGTGGCACTGTAAGTCCACCCACATGAGGTGTAAGTGTGTCAGTCTAAAACAGCAAGCCTGTGATCAGCATCCTCCAGATCCCAGGCAAGAAAGCCTCAACTCTTCCCAGGAAACACAGCACACTGGAAACTGAGGCAGCAGGCATCTTCTTGGGAATTTAAGAGAGGGAGGCAACTTCTCCCTCATTTGATCAGGAGGGGTTCAAACAGGGAGGGTGATATGGTGGGGGTCACCCAGAAACAAAGAGTCAGAACTAGATGTCTCTGCCCTG